TAGATGTATTTTGCAGAGATACAAACACTAGATTTTAATCCGGTTGAAGAAACTCAGTCCAAGCACATCAACACATTCACTAATTCTGGTATGTAAACACATCGCAATACTTTTATTATACACTTATATCTACCTAAAAACCAAGAAAATGTCTCATGAATCCATTTTTGATTAATGCATTGGAATCAAAATTTTGGTGTCGAAATTCCGTATAACGATAATCATTATTTAGAAAAATGTGTCAGTATGTCCACAATTTTCATTATGAATACGGTCTAGCTTGAGTCCCCAAGACGTCAAGAGACTTTTGGTGACAAGGATGTCAGTAGCACAGATAAATTCGCTTTAAGGTTTCCAAGATTCATTAAATCCCCATTGTTCCCTACAAAACTATTCTATCCCATGTATATTTATGATTATGATAGTTACTTTGCATTTCTTTCCATTTTTATGCGCACTTTACGACGTGTGATCACATAATCTGCTATACTTTTGTGCAAAGTTAGTTTCAGTTCATGTTTTTAATTTCCATACAGTGCAATATAAAAAATAATAAAATGCACTCAAAGTCTAATTCAGTAAATATAACTACAAACGAAGAATAACTTATCCCGAAATAATGTTCTTTTCAAATTAGAGGTCAAAAACCAACATTATTTAAAGAACAACTGGAAACATGGGAGTGATGAACAGCTGATTCTTCACAGTTTACGACTCGTCAGTAGCAAACACTGATGATTCCGTGAGGGACGAAGGCATAAACTTCAGGTTTCGCGGTAAGTACGTCACCAAACAGCCACTTAGTCGGAATCAATTAGTTATTACCTCTGGTGTTGGTAACACGTTTGCTTCTATCCTTGCTGGGGTCACAGGTATGTACCGCTGACGAGTCCAGTGCCCTAGTTTTCAGTTATTCTGTAGTTGAAGTTGTTTTGCGTCAACTTCTAACTTGAAATCCCTAAAAACTTAATCGATGAAGAAGACTTTTTGCTTAATATACCAACTTCTAATAACTGTAGGATTTCTTAACCAGATAAAATATTGTCTTATTTATGTAAGGTTGTCTCGATAACCTTTAGTAAATTTCATAATATTCTTCATGGGTACATACAAGACAGACCAAGTTCGAATTTGTAAAACATCTCTACATTAGGACTAGTGCTACTACTTGCAAGTCAAACGTGCAGTGAGTAGCATGAGATACGAACACATGATCTACTAACTAAATGTCGTGTTTCCAAGGTAGCAGCAAGCTATCACCTTGCATCTATTTTTATCTTATAAACTGTATATTGAAAAGCATCATTTTAGCCTTGACCAAGCATCATCATCAGTCAGAAATACCCTGTGAACAGAATTTACCTGAACATCTTCATCTTCTAATTTTTATTTAATAGTTGACAGTGTGTAAAAAGTAGTCAACAAAATAAAATTATAGTCTTTTAAAACAACATAGATCATGCTGGACTTTTCAGTTCACTTCATTTTATTGTTTGAGAGTTGAGAAAGTTTGATCAGAAATAAAATTTAAATTTAAAAAAAAAACATAAAGGCAAAAGATGAAACAACAGCAGAAAGAACAACAACAACAACTGGGGACAACTTAGAGGAAAAACAGTGAACTTCAATCAATCACAAGATATATGTTATTAACAGAATAAAAAGAATTGGGTGAAGATTAAAAAAAAGGAAAGTTGGAAAGCGAACGGTAAAAAAAAGAGAAAAGGGAAGAAATTGACCGTTAAAGGGAAAATTAACAGAAAAAATTAACAAAACTTCAAGGTGCAGTGAATAAGCTTTATGATATTTTTATTTAAATCGCAAAGGAAATTACTTCAGAGAAAATTTCACTTGGGCCATATATATATATATATATATATATATATATATATATCAGAAAAGCTCATATAAGTTGACTTTAGTGGGTTATTTAGTAGAACACTTAACCTGTAGAAGAATATAACCATATACAGTGTAATAACTACCAATTCTGTCACCTAATATACTTATGTCGTATGAACACTCCTTAAATAAATTTCACTAGATGTTAAAAACTCTGGCCTTTCTTCTGTCTTTCTGAAAAGAATGAATGAAAATTAGTCAGATAGGCTATTAGAGTAATCTTCCCCACATTTGTTATCATTTGTACACAAAAAGAATAAAAATAAATGAATACAGTAGTTTGATGAAATTAAGAGAAAAAACTCCTCTCCACATCTTTCAGAATCCATCTGGAAACTAGTCACTAATTATTAATGAAATGATATTTACATAAAAATTTTATGAGTGGTGAATATACTTTATAGTTCGTATTAAAGACCAATATCATTCATAAAATGATTGTAAACAGTGGATTACAGGGCCAAATTATCGACTTCCTACAAAGTCAGCTTACTTGACTAGACAATAAATTTGTTGTACTTCAAGTATCCACTTGGCTCCTTATTGTCTTGAGTTATAAAAAAGTACAGCTTGACTGATTTATTCAGAATTACACTAAAATTAGTATAAGCTATCAGTGCTGGCCTCAACAGTGCTCCCAGAAATTTTGAGCCCACTCAGAGCTTCCTATTCGGATGCATCATTGAACACTTAACCTTACGGTTTCATAAGGGAGAAAATAAATCTCTACAAAGCTCTATTTTGAAATAAATGATCTACTCTAGACACGCAACAAACCCGAAAACCAATGTGAGAGTCATCTACAGAAAAGACGGGAATCACGCCAGAGGAGTATGAATTGAACTTCTACAAACCACATTAGCTAGTGGCAATCCATATGTGAAATCTTGGACACTACATACAGAAGGGAGTTTGTTTAGCCTGTGGAACTACAATGAATTTAATTTCGTCTTAACGCTGGATACTGAATTTTCGTTAATCCTAATTTGTTTAGTTGTTTTTTAGTCATAATATTTCCCTCACCACCACCACCACCACCACCACCGCTATTGCATTTCTACTTCTTATGACACTGATGTTAACTTGACTACCCTTCAATTTTAGCTGAGTTCTAGTGAATTCCGTAAATTGCATTACGTCACGCAATTTACTTATTTAACTTTATTTTAGTTTCTGCCCGAAGAAGGCTTTCTGCATTACGTAGTTGTTATCTAAAACTTATAATTCTAGTGACACATCTTCGGAAATATTTTTCCATTACGAAGCTACAATTAAACAACTCACATAACCAAAATGAGTACATGACACGAGTTTTCCTCTGATTGCAATACTCTATAGTAGTGAGCAACCAATTAGTTATCGAAAAACTAAAATTCACTAATCAACACAGCATACATGGGGAAGAGAACAGATGAATCACTGGTGGTCTAGACACAACTATAATTACTTTTATGAAATGAATTCACTCTTGCTAACATAGTATATAAAATGCTAGCTTGAAATAGCACTTCTGATTGACAGATACATAATTATTTTTCCAGTAAATTTTCGATTTCTTTAAAACCTTTATCTGTCCAGTCCTACTGTGTTTTTTTTATTTCCTAAAATCTTTTATCTTGCTAACACCTATATACAAGAAAGCATGTGACATCTTTGACTAGCTTTTTTCTCTTCTGAAGGTTGTTAGATTGTAGGAAATTATTCAGCTCATATCCTGTCCATTCACTATGTTTATTGACATTTCAATCTAATTGGTTTTTAAAATAAATTCTATTAAGAGTACGTGAAAATCGAATGACTCTAGGGAAAAAATGTATGTAATCATTATCAGACGAAATTTACAATTAGGAAAAAACAGGATGTATTTAGCTGTTGAATTAATAATTTTATAAAATCTATCACATCATTCAACCAATCAACACACTCTCAAACGTACAGATAATTAGGACTTCACTTCTACTCTTTAGAAGCAAACATGCCAAGATTGAAAGCCAGAAGACATGATACATTTCGTCGTTAAAAGTTAAATGGCGACCACCAGCTGGTAACTGAAGCAGTTTTCCAGTTCAGGTGCTTAAGGGATATCAGTTTCCCCACGGTAGCAAGTAATTAGCCGATAAGAACGAAAACTGATTCTGGGTTCTAGGGTTTTTCGCCGATCAACTCCCAGTATTCGATAAACAAAGCTATGCATTTTTTTCTTAGAGTATGTATCTCGTATATTAATTTTGTTTTAAAACGCAGGAACCTAGTTTTTTTGTAAGAATGCTTCATCTTAAATGTTTTTTAATCGCAAGCATTAAAACTTAATCTCTCATTTGCTGCTCGTAAGGAAATAATAGAATTAATTAATTACATATACAATTATACAAACTTTTATCTGCTTCCTTTCTTTCAGTTCATTCATTAATGCCGACAAAAAGAAGCCTTCCAGGTCTCACCAAATATCTCTAAGGTATGTTATATGATAAAAATAGCTCGACAGTTTTTTTATTTGTACCTTAGTTCACCGATACACTATAATTCATACCATAAGGAAAAGCATTTAATTTATGCGTAAGTTAATTGTACATAGATTTCATGCAGAGCTAGATGGAATCAGCACCACATCTGAAAACAAACCACTGCCGCTATCAAAGCTATTTGAACATCACAATAATTTGTCTATAAAAGCATCACAAACAGATTGAATTTATTTGTATTTTTGTATCTCGAAGAGTAGATTTTTTTAAATAACACAGCTTCCACAGTTTTCCACAGAGCTACAAATAATTAAAGGACCTGTTTGACATACTTACAGTTAACTGAATAGAAATACTCATTACAACAAACCGACCAGAAAAAAGTCCATCAAATTTAATAGAGGCAGTTACTTTTTTGGCATGACAATTGTAAAATATTGAACTAAGCTAACCAATTAATTGTCCAGGAAAATATTTTCACACACCAAGTGAGTTATAGAACTTCTTTTGAAAAACAAACCACTGTACATAGTAAACAGAAAATCACAAATCAAAGTTAGTGTAACTATTACAATAACCTTGAAAACTTTTAATTAAATAACATCATTGATACTGTGATGAAAAATTGTTACTTACACAACTACAACATAGTAACACTATAATGAATGTTTGAAGGGCACCTGCCACACCCGTAATCCATCCAACTCGAACGAACAGGAGAATGCCAAATATATTTTGACAGCAAGGTAGAAAAACTCCCAATATCGTGCCCAAACGTTTATTCTATATAAAACAAAATTGAAAATAAAACTGGTAAATTGATACTACTTCCAGCAATTTCACTGATTTTGTCATAGAGAAATGCAAGTAATAATAACAATAACAACAATAACTAATGATAGTAATAATTAATAGTATTGTGTCAAAGACCACAAGAAAACCGAGAGCTACACTGAAATACCAGTAGATAGCTATACCAAATGGTTTAACTTGGTATTAATAATAACGTCATATCCTAATAATTGATAAAATTATTTAGATTAAAACTGAAAGATGAAAAATGAACATCAATCATACCTAGGTTTTGTAGACATTATAAGGTTTATACTAGAACTTAAGAAACACATCAGAAGTGCCGACGACGCAGGTTATTCCTACAACATGACTGTCGGCAGTTTAGGAAGACTTCTAACTATGGGTCACCTATGTGTTGAGGCTCATCAGAAAAATAAATTAAAATTCGTTAGAAAAATCATACTTCTTCACTTGGTCCACCAGGTTTTAAGTTGTCAGTCAAGAAATTTGATGTATCCAATTTTAGTAATGTGCTCATTTCAAAAACACAGAAATACAGCATTTCTTAACAATCACTAAATATTGGACAGTAAATTGTTAGTGGGATGACGTCTAGTCATCACCTTTGATAAATATGATTCACACATCAGACGGTTTTAATTGGCATTTGAAACGGCCATTTAGTGTAACAAATGGGGTTAAAACGAGTACGATGGGACAGATAGTGTTATCATTTTCGAATTATGTGACAGCAATAATTGCATTTCATAAAATAACATTAGAAAACGCCAAAACAAAGCAAAAGCTCACAAGCATGATACATATGCCACTGTCATTTTTTCAATGAATTTCTTTACTACTCTTTGGAGTGATATAGTGTACTTAGGCGAAGTGCACTTAAAACTTTTGATATGTGACCATGGTATTCATCATTGAGATCCAAGTCAATCTAGTCATCGAAACTTCCACAAAACATCAATCGATTAACTTACATCCTTTGGTTTTGTTTGTTTTTCCCTCAGCTGTTTAGTTTCACCCACTGTCGGTTCGATTCCACCAGTATAAGCCGCCAGCTTACCAAACCAGTTACTCATTGGAGGTAATGTTTTATCATCATCCTGCCGGAAAAAGAAGGAAGAATCAATGTGCATACGACATATATGAATATTTTTATAGATTTTCTCATAAAATTATAACTTATCGGTACAGAGTTTTACAAAGAAAATTATTACATAAGTGTATTTGACACTCAGTGGTGTAGTATTTGATTTCCACTGATTTTCCTACAATTGTTCACATCAGCAGGCATCAGCAAACATAAATGATACTGTCTTTGAATTTGAAGCTAACAAACGGGTTAAGCCAAGTTATACTGAAAAATAAGCCCAATTTTCCAATACTAAGGGCGAAATAACCTGAATAACAGTCAACATCAAGTATTTAATTCAACTGAGCTTTTGTAGTAAGTGCGGAGCAAGCATAAATAACAGTATGCTATTATAAAATTTAAAAACTGTGTAACACCTATAAATGAGTAAAATGTATGGCCCAAACATTTTTATGTGAATTTCAAATAAATTAAATAAAAGCACCTATTACCTCAAACAGGTTAAGCTGTGCATTATCTTCATCCTCAGCTTCAATATCTTCATCAACAACTTCAGTTGGGATTCCCGCTAGATAAGAGTAAAAAACAGAAATTTGGAAACCCGAATTGATACAGACAATCACTAGTTGTATATTCTTATCGTTTCTATAACAATATTAAAACTCTTATATGTCCCTTCCGTAAACGAGTGAGTACATCATTTCGGAATCATTATCTACACATAAATGGTGAACTTGTAGGGATACAGATGTCTGGTAAAAAGCCTTCTAAACGTTTCCCAGGACTTCATTTACTATGATTACCACGCATTCAATCAAAGCCAAATAGAGGCGAATATAAAGGCAAAATTATACTTCAAACAGACAACGGACTTCATCCCGCACGGTATTTTATTAGACACATCACAAAACATTTGCTCAATTAACACTTAAACAAGCGTGATTTTTATAATCATACGTAATCCATATTTAACTTCGACTTATTGGTCTTAATTCTCCCCTTTTATTTATCATAATAAGTGTTTAACTTTTCCGGTACCTTGAATAGGCATTAAATGATTTTCATCTCACATATGCTGGAGTAATTCGGCAAAAACGTTTTATGGACCACTTCAAATTCACACCAAATTACATGTTGAAAATGCAGTCACTCTGAAAATCAACCCAAAAACTTTCAGTGCAAATGATCCGATGACCGTGCCAGAAATGTCGAAAAATCCAGTAGTTAATACAATGCTGATTTTAAAGTTCTGGATTGACGTTCGCCATGTTTAAAAGCGACAAAATGTCCATCGACCAAAACATGTTTGCCAAAGTGTGATGTGTCTGGTAGACGAACTAATACTAAAGTAGTCACTGTCATAATACACGAGTTCTAATTTCAATTTTTTCTGTCAATGCTGCGTATAAAAATGGTGACCATTCAAAAAGTAATTAAAATTAGTTCACGTAAAAATATAAAGCGCTAAACCATGACTGTTTACAATCTACTAAAGCAGTAATACGAAATCCTATATCAGTATATATATATATATATATATATTGAAACGAAACTTCTCTTGAATGGGTTTTATATAAGCTCATCTAACGAAACAAACATCCATTCAATCAGAACTGTGTACGGCAAAACAATCCAGATCTTCAACAGAAATATCAAAAGAATTTTTGCTGTCATTTCAATTATCAGTTGGGACTATTCTGCACTGTGCCTGGAATTTCACATAACGATGTATTAGAATATGAACACAAAAGTGTGTTCACAAAATATTGCAAACTTGATGAATATGTAAGCTGACAGTTCGTGCACTTAAAACCGTTTAGTCCAAACATCTGAACAGTTGGTATAATGATAACTTCGGTATGGTTAAACACAGAATCAAATGGCGCGATCTACAGCCATAAATATCAATTATATAGAATATGGATCTTGTGACACTATATCTGATTTTTTTTACGTATAAGTTAGAGCAGAGTGTGTAGTCTATCAGAACGCCCAGCTGAGGTGAAGTGATTCAAAACAAATAAGAAATGAAAGCCAGAGTAGACAAACAGACTCATATATCCGCAATAACGAACGAAAATGTTGAAACCCTGAACATAAAATATGCAATTAACTTCTGACACATACATATATTATCTATAAGTATTCTGAAAAGGAGGCAGACTGTCTATCTACGGACATCCATTTCTGGAATTCGCCGTTGAGTGACTTACGAGTTTTAGATTAGTGATTTAAAATTGCATCTGGTGATTCCTTTTCCTTGTGTAAAAAACTGATCTTAATAAATTTTGCATGAAAGACTAATTTACTTCGAGATAGATTAAGGCGTAACGATAATATTAAGGGAAAAAATAAGGGCAAATCACTTTAAACAGAAGTTAAAGTCATCACACTGAGTAGCAGAAACTTACATGTTGACACAAATCAACAATACTTAAAAAACAAGTGTCAGCGTTACACACAAAATATTCGCAACACGCATATGAGATTGCAATGAGAATGGAGATTTAATTATCTGCAAAAATCTAACCACAAGCATGCTGTGGTATGATGTAGAAGTCAAGCTACATTGGGAACAAATTAAACCACAAACTATCAAATGACAATCAGCAAATGACCACATCACTGGCGAAGCATTTAAGCATGTAACTGCAATTCACCAGAGAGCCATGAAATATACTCACACTGCATACGTCCATGAAGAACTGAAAAATATTCACAGTTTCAAACACAAGTGTTAGAAAGTATATACTCCATCAAAAATACACGAGGTAATTAAAACCCCATATGTTGTCATTATTACAGCTTACCATAAGCTTCTGTAGACTCCCCCAATAGCGACAGCTTTGCACCTTTCAGGTCAGGTGCCTCTACAGATTGCACACTGAACTTCTTACTAATCTTGCGCACACTCATGTCAATTTGAGCGACCCAAGATGAAATTATTTGAATAGTGAAACGAATGTAGAAGTAAAACCGAAGGTCAAAGAGATACGAACAAACAAACCAATTTGTAGAGATAAAAGCTGATAATATGGCTTTAAGGTTATCTGAAATCCCTAAATGGAAAAAGATTAAATCGCTTTAGTCATTAAACATTTGAGATATTTCATAAATTACTTGCATATATTTAACACCATTCTCCGGGAACAGTATGAACCAGATACGCTACCATGTACTTCTCTGCGTAAATTGTAGTTAGTACCAGTCTTTAGAAGATTAAGCTCCACACTGATCTTTTTTGCGGATCGTAAGGTCTTGAAAGAAGTGAAACTCCGACTAAGTTTGAAAAGATGTTTAGGAGTTTGTTTCAAGACTTTGACATTACTGTGAACAAGTACGGATGTTCTAACAAGGAGTATTTTGTTTCAGTTAAAGTAAGCGATATGCCATTGAGAATAGCATTAATAGGGGAACATCCGCAATAAGGATCACTTGTTGATCCGACCGAAAAAATATAGCAACTCATGTTAAAATCTTTATCGGTTAGTCTCGTGAGACTATTAGAAGAACCAATTTCAGCCTAGGTGAGGTAATTAGATATAACATTCGAAGCCTTCCTACTCTGGGATCAGATCTCCTCATACTCCGGTGTCTTTTATCGTGTAACATTTGTTACAACAATATATTAAGCAGGACCATAATATGATACTTTCCGTGTGCAGGATGTACATTCAAAGAGGATTTCTGTTTGGAAGCAAGTGCACATCTCCCAGTTCCAATATTTATCCCTGTATTTCTCCGGACTGGCTTTTGACCACTTTCCATTTCAACCTTAGTATAGCTGGTGGGCCTAAGCAGTTTTTTATCTGCTGAGGACCAGATACGTTGCAAGAAGCGGGTTAAAAGTTATTATAACTAGTTGACTTTCTGATATTTTGAGTGTTGTGGAGGATCATATCACTTCTTCTAGTAGACATACACTTAGTAAAGCACTTTGCACCTAGACCAGTTAAGCGTCATTAAGCTCATTCCATACAATAACGTTTCTTTTCACAAAAGTGAACATCGGTGTTTTCAGGTATCAGGATCATTTTTCATGTTTGTGGAGTTCTGCAGCAACATATCAGTTATACCCCTTTCTGGTCTTTTCGCCCGCGTGTAGATGACATTTTCCTCCTATGGATTCCCCTTCTTGATTAACAGTAGGATCTGACAACAAACAAAGCATTAATTCTCTCTCTACCTCCATAAGTGACTGAGAATTCGTGAAAATTCCTTTCTTTGCTCTCTGAAATGATCTCGTATTTCCCTTCAAAATGGTCAGTACAAGAAGGTGATGGCGATATGGTAATTTATAGTGGTTGATAATTACTTTGGAGAAAATTTAAACCAGAAACATACGCGAAATTTCTTGAACTATTTTTAGTGATCGCCTCAGTCTCTTCCTCGAGTTTATTGGAATGATCGATTTCGCTCATTTATTCTGATATGCAGATATAGCAAAAACCTGACTTAAGAAAATAAATAATCGGAATATTTGAGGCCAAATTTATGAGTTCAATACGAACAGGATTTGCTAATAGATTATTATACATAACGCAATGCAGAAACTGACACTCAAATAGAGGATATCTGAATTGTAAAGCGAATAAAATAGCCTAAATACAGTTACGAAACCCGAAATAGACAAAATTTGTTTGGCTATATATCAAGTTCACCGCTTGCAGAAAACTGTGATTTCCGAACTGCAGATCGGATATCACATCCAGCTTACTGCGTAGAATGCTGGGCTAATGAAGACGACAAAAACAAGTTCGCATATAATCATGTGTACCACTGACCATGATAATTCTACTAATTCACATCTTCCCAATGAAAATTGTCATGTTTCTCGATACGAAGAGACTAAGTTGGCGACGCTGAGTTGAACGCAGATGCGCGGATCACGACCATTATTTGGATACGCCAACAACATTTTACAAACAACTCCTTATCTCCAAAGTCTACATCACTTAAGCGATAAAACACAACGACACGAGCAACAAAAATTTTTTGTGCAATAATGTATGATTCGGAATATAGTCAGGATCATGTAAGTTAGTCTTTATTCATACTAGATATGAAGCAGGCTTTATTTTACGCTGGCTTTGCCATCAGGATAATGGAGGTTTCTTCTCTGAACATCGATCGGTATTGCGTCAGGTATTGGGATAACGGATGTCCTGGCAGGACTAACGGAGGCGAAGGTTGACGCAGAAGTTCTAATAGGTTTGATGAGATGCGCTGATTTCAGGACTATTCTGGTGTCCAGGCTGGATTAAACCGGTTTTTCAACAATTTTGTCCATCTTCGAAAAATCCAACAACCGTATCTCCAGAAAAACCTTTTGCATCTTCAAGTGTGAGTAGAATTCCTGAGACAATATACTGTAATCTTGAAGTAAAATTTGAAAAGATAAATTTCTTTCACACGTTTAGATGGCTTCACTATCACTGCTGCAGGAATGTAAAGCCTCAAATCTAACTTCTTCGTTATTGAAGCGGACGCCTATCTGATTCAGAGGCATATTTCTGCCCTTACAAACTAGCATGACTTGCACAAATTCGTTTGTGTTTTCTCGAGACAAGACAAACACTTTCACACTTCGGTTGTTCCAGTCAATTTCACATGGGAATGGGAATTTATAAACAGAACAGATGTACACGAAAAATCAACCACTTAGTTAGTTACGGCTGCAACAAGCAAACAAAACTCAAAAAGATTTGTGTCAGCCAACTATCAGAATCTGTCAATATCCAGCTGTCACTACGGTGGATCTCACGCTGTCCTTGGAAGGCTTTCAGAAACGATTTGTAATAACCGACGCAAAAAACCAGAACACAGATTGGCGACTCAAGAACCCTTTATTCTTATGCCAATATGTAACCAACAATAAGGTTATTACACAAGATTTAAGAATAAATTTTATAACAGTAAGTCACGATAATACTTCTGATAGTTTCCTGTCTTCCACTGAACAGCAAACGATGAGACGATGACTGCCATATTGATGACTCCCACGAAAAATATAGATTTGGGCTTGAGCAGACAACCATGAATTGATCGTTCAATCTTCAACTACATTGAAAGTTTGTTAACAAAATTTACGCGAAAATTTCAAGATATAGTGGTGCACTCCTGTCCTGAAGAGAGTAGAATATAAATGTCTTGCAACTATCTCCCAGAAAGTTGTATATCCACGAAAATTTATTCCCACAAACCAAAGACAAAAACGTCAGCAACCATGTAATTTAACCATGAACCAAATTTATGTAATTTAAATAATGCTTATCCATGCCTGTATATTTGGTGTGTCCTACACAGGTAGGAAAAATATGTATTTTATTAAAACATTATTATTAGGTAGGATTGCTAATCGTGTATGTAATTTATCATATTGATGATGCCTGTAAACTGGCGGCCCTCATGTACAAAATGAGAATTTGTTATTATTATTATTATATATGTGTAAAGCTTGGACAATGTGGTAGAAAGTAATTCCATATTATACTGCTTTACTCATGAGGTAGAACGCAGACACGTATAATCAAACACCGGTATTATTTTCATATTTTACAGCATCAGGGGTTACTTCTCATAGTCTAGGCGGACAATATTATCAGCAAACCGTAAGTTGATGAGAATATTCCCTGATAAGTCTCTAAAGTCAATTACAGACTATCCTATTAATATATGTGTGATTGAATTGAACTGATATAAGGATGACAATTTAAGAATTCAGTCTTGTATTACATCCCACTCGGAAATGTGTTTTCTCAGATAATTCGCAAACAGTATTCAGTAAATAGAAAACATTCTGTAGGCTTAATGAAACTCGTAAACTGACGCACTACTTTTGCAGGCACTATAGTATTTCCTCAACAAAGTGAGAATTGAATATTTCGGCTGCACAAAACGAGTAAGTAGTATCCTGGGAATACCAATGACTACAACAAGTCTAGGAGTTATGCACTACAACTTTTACTTTACTGAATACACCAGCAGACTTTACATAAACACTTGACAGATCAAATTTATACAGGAAGTCAGTAAGATTTAGTAAACTAAAAGTGCTTTTGGTTTCCACAGGAGTTCTCCGTGCCGAATTTATTCCTTTACGGGCCTACAGAGATTAATTCTTCAATTAAATACCACTGACGTGGAGGAAATTCCACTCTTCATTACTACACTTAATGAAAAGAATCATGTTTTTTATTTTAAAAACAGGAGCATTCGTAATGTTTTACTTTATGTAAATGCAGTTACATACAGTTGCACTAAGAACTCAACGCAACTCGATACACAATAGTATATATACAAATAAACTGAAAAATAATGTCCTCCTTACCTTCTGAACAACTTGTCCCTGTTCCAGGATTATAATTTTTTCACCTATGAGCCTGAGTTATGTCTACGAAATCGCAATATTACATCAGTTAAATCTTACCCCAAAACCAAGGCCACTTGAAACCAATAGCAACATAGCAACAAGCATCATTGAGGGGATATGCAATAAAGTCGCTCATTAGTTTGTTTATTAGATATATCACGCAGTGAAACAGCATTATTTACTGGATGATGTTTCGAACAAAATTTATTGTTCATAATCATATCAATTATAATCTCACGACTCCGAAACTTGAATTTCGTTGTTTTCCTTGTTCTCTCCTATTTGTCGTAGAGGTAGTAGAATTTTCCAGATATCAGTGACAAATGTCGCATCTTTCCTATTACACGTGTTTACAGTGGATTCGGTAAATAAAGCTTCCATTATCAATCCATCTCTCCACCCTGTTTCATTAGATTTGAAACCATCATTGCACGTAAGGCTATGGTGCTACACACAACTACACAATAGGATGGGATAAAATGACTGTTTTAAAATCTGATGAAACAGGGTGGAGAGATGGATTGATAATGGAAGCTTTATTTAC